CCCCCCCCCCCCCCCCAAATATGTCACTGCCTCTACGCGTGTACGGCGCGAATATGTTACAACCACGCATTTGCGACGGACCCGTTAAACTGGTCTGAATACTTTTACCGAAAGCCTTCGAATCCATACCAGTGCGTTTATCTGTATACCCAACGGTTTGCAAGGATTACCATTAGCAGTTGTCAAATTTGCAACTACCTTTTGCCCTAGATTTGAAACGGTTAATAATTCGATGTCCGTAATGACGTTATAATAACGTTAACGTTTGCTATAACGCTCCCGGATAGAGCTTTGACACGGTTTATTTAGTTTCATTTGTTCATGGATCGTATAAAACATTGTTTTTTAACTTTACGTAGGACACGAGACGTGACTTTAAGCTAAGCCAATTAAAGAAGTGACGAGGATTCAAAATAAAAAAATTATAAAGTCAGTAGACTAATTGTTTGTTGCGTCTGTTTTTTATATTATTATTTATTATTATGAGTACTGGAAAGCAACGAGTAATTGTTATAAAAACTGTTTTTATAGCGAAAATATACAAAAATACTGAACATATTTTGTAAAAAAATCGTAATCTTCTCATAAAAAAATATAGTTAGTTTTTTAAAAAGACTACTTATTTTATACGTTATAAGACAAGGATAGGCAAATCAAGATAACTAGAAGGCTAACTTTTAGAATATTAAGATCTGAAGGACCAGAGTAAAGAAAGTACAAAAATAAAAAAGTCATTAAAATTGATAATCAGCGTCTATTTTAATTGTTCGACTAAACCGATAAAATACTTGACCTAATATGGATATATATATATATATAAATTATACTTAGACATTTTACAAATTAGATGCAGTTCATACCATGGTAAAATATAATATTTACATTTCACCCTGGACGTGATAAAACGGTGACGAGCGGTCCGCCAGTTGTCCGTCCCGTTACGAGATTCATTTGGCGCTCGTCTACCACGCGAAAAAGTCTTGTAAAAAAAAATCAAATAAAGTAATAGAAAATTTTTTCGTACATAATATGTATAAGTATCGTATATGTACATAAGGTTTATTCTACTAAATTTACAAAACAAGATTTATTTTTTTTGACGACTGCGCCATTACTTTATGGCTGTATCCCGGGTCATGAAATAAATACGAGATATGTACCCGTAATCTGATATGAAGTTAGATAGATACTAATGTACACTTGTGT